AATCGTCGTTAATGGTTATGCATCACTTCTACAATCGAAGTAATAGTTCTTTTTTAATTTTATAATAAACTTTTTTCTTTTGTAAATAATATATCAAATCTATTAAATACGTGATAAAATAAAAATGCATCAAATATAAAACCTAGTTGAATGTAACAAAATGTAGATATCACTGTTTAAAGAAAGCAAACACATAATCCACAAAGAAATATAGCTAATGAACTTAATATAACCAGATCTTGTAATCCTAAGTACCGGAGTTGCCCACGTTCCGATTTTCATGTCCTTCTTGCATTGCCTATGAACAACCCAATTAACAATAAATTATGTCAGACTACTCTCTCCTGACTAGTTCTTCACAGATATTTCGATATCAAATAGAATATTAGAGAGTTGAGGAGATATGATGAATTAAACAAGTGAAGACATAAAAGATTTCAAAAAAATACCTGAGAATTTGGTGGATTGGCCAAGCTCGATAAAATAGTAGTAAAATTTGGCTGATTGGCCAAGTTTGCTAACAGAGCAGCTAAATTTGGCGTCGATCCAGTTGTCGATCCAGTTGTCTATACATACAGTAACATTAGTTCACAATAAAACACACTATTATAACATGAAAAACTAAGCACCATAAATTTACCTGAGTAGTAGAGGCACCAACTAATTGTTGAATAATTCCAGCCAAGTTCTGGACTTGGCTTTGCAACCCTGAAACTTGTGACCTCAACTCAACAGCTTCGGAATTTGTTGCATCTAATATTGGAGTAGGAGAACATTTCGGCAATTTTGAAGGTGTAGGTCCACGTCCGACACAACGGACGCGTCCTGAACGCTCTGGACCAAATACTTTGGAGTATTCATCATCCAAACTTGCGGTGATATTGTTTGACCCTCCAGCTGAAGGATTTTGACTCATCAAGAGTGTGAGTTCATCCTGAAATATTTAATCAAGATATAAACAAGCATAACCATTGATAAAACTAAGCATATTAGCTTAACAATGCATTTATATAAAAAAACTAACCGCACGGTTTTTTGCCTCTTCACATACAAAACTTCCATCAGGTTTCATGCGACTTGTAATGAAAAATTCTGCTCGACACGGTGTTTTTCCAGTTTGTTCTTCCTACGGATACATTAAAAATGATTAAAGAGCAGACATTATTTAAATAAATCCTTAGACTCATTATATATGTATGTGCAAGAGCTTATTATTAATAAGAACTACAACTAATAATTATTCTATTAAGGCACCATATAACAATTAAGTAATATACAACAAAATATATATGAAAAAGTATGAGAATCACCAAAGTAAGCAATATAAGCTACTTACAATTTCACGTCGTTTTCTCGCAAAACTCTTTCTTCCACAAAGATGTGGTATAGTATTCTTGCTTTGGTTCTTGATATTCCGTTCTCGCATATTCTTTCAATTCAAATTCATAACCAGGAAGTTATTTGCATTTCACACAGTATATATTAGATTAATATAGAAACATACCTTCCATTTTTCAGTGAATCTCACTGTCACAAAATTTCGCCACTGATCATCTGGTACTACGGTGGGACGATTTAGCATTGTTTCACTTCGATCATTTCGTTTGTAGATCTTCCAAAGATTACGTTTAACATCCTTACATCTGCTCCCTAATACACTAAGCACATAGTCCTTTCTTGCTTCCGGTCTATCGAACCAGAATTTTGTCTGTAATTTAGAATCAAAAAAATTATTACATATGCTTTAAAGAAACAATGAGTTTTTAGAAAGTCAATTATATAACCAAAATATTACAAAATAATATTAATTATTGTTACCTGGATTAGTTCCCATACTCTTTCCTTTCTGTGGAGAGGATATAATCTCCAATCACTGTAGTCAATAGGTAACAAATTAACATCATGACTCAATTGGCCCAACCATGACCCTAATAAACCTCCAGAGTCTTCATCAGGCTGGCCATTGCGTTCATCAAAATGGACAATGACTTTGCGGTTTTGCAACTTCCAGATATCTTTAGTCGTCAATGTTTGTTGTTCTATTTCTCCATTGGCATCTATTAAATAATCAAACACTTCTTTAGTTATTAAAGCGACACGATCCATAATCAAAATAACAAAATTAGGTGCTTGATGAGGAGTATAACAAACGTTTCTACCATGAATTTAGAATTATAATATATTAACTTTACCTATGATTTTTACTTTCCATTTGAAGCTGTTACATTCTGGTGCAAGTTCATGCGGACCACTGAACTCCATCTGTGAAAGTGGCACATCTTCCGGCGGTTGCGTCTCTGAATCCGTGAAATTCATAACTCTACACATGAAATAAATAAAACTATTAAGTACTGGAAAATATAATAAAGATCTTAAGTGATGGAAGAAATATGCATAGAAACATGTTTAACACAATCAAGTCAATGATAATGAACGAACTAGGACTAATTATAACCTGGACAAGAAGGATTATAAGCATTCAAGTCCATCACACGTATTCATGTCGATGTTAGGGAAGAGATCATCCAAAAGTTCTGCAGTTGAATCAAATTCAGCTGGAGCTGATTCAACTGGAGCTGCATGTCCCCCAGCAAGTGTTTCAGTTGCATTTTCAACCACACTAATTTCTTCTCCATGTAATACCCAATTAGTGTAAGAACTTAGAAATCCAAAACACATTAAATCGCCTTCAATATCCTCTCTCGACTTAGACTTGAATAGACAGCAACGATTACAAGGACATTTCAACATGTCCACCTTAATTTTGCCAAATGCAAAATCTAAGAAACTTTTCACTCCTTTTGTATAGTCATCACTTAAACGAGGTTTGTCTATCCAAGACTTATCTATAATTACCTAGGTTAAAATAAGAAATACGTAGATATGTTATTAGTTTAAATTCGTCTCTACTTCTTTACCTCTATATATAACTATCGGGAGATGTGATTTTCAAGAGATTAAGTTCTGCAAGATTTTGCAAATTGACTAATAATTTACTAACTCTTTCTATAATTATGTATGTTTATCAAAGCATCCAACACACAAAAACAAAACAAACGATGGTGTGAATTTGAGTTTCAAAGATATAAACTAAGAAAATGATAAATTTTCCAAGTCGTACACAGAGAATTTAAAGTTTCACAAACAATCAAGTCAAACAACACAAAGAGGAGATAATCATGCTTTTGAATTACAAATTAGAAAATTAAAACTAAGCTAGGTGTGATTTGTTTAAGAGATCAATCATAAAACGACAATCAAATATCAATGAATCTGAAAATTAAAGAGATGAAATACTAGAATTACCTTATTTAGAGTTGTACTCAGATTTCTGAAACTTGGTGATCCTCTCTGTTGCTCTTGAAAAACGCTATATCAAAATAATTTTGAGGTGAATATATATATGGACGAGTAACTGACGCTTGAGATACCTAAGAATTATGATACCACTCCCGCTTAAGGTTAGAAATTTGCGGGAATCTAAATGAAATATTTTAGGTTTTCACATATATATATATATTTATTAAGTGTTACATGAACGGTGCTGGGAGAATTCTTAGCCACGATCAGAAAATTATATATTCAATTTAATCAAAAATAAAATCAGTTGTAGATTCACCAACCCAACATCAAATATATCAAAGATAGGACATGAATTACATAAAAGAAGATAATTACATATATATTTTCTTCATAGTTTGTTCAGATCTGTGATTATAAATATTTAGTATAAGTGAGAGAGAGAGAGAGTAACTCATCTGCCAGCAATAAGAGGCTTCTCTTTGCTCTTCATGAAATTTCCAAAGCACAAATCAAAATCATCCATAGATAGTTAATCAAATCGAAGACTGCTTCTTGCTCTATCGAAGGCATCGTGATAAAAGCGGCGGAGCTTGGAATCATCGGAAATCACCGTACTCTCAATCCAACAATGGATTACAAACAAAGGAAACAAAGAAAATTGATTTGCATCTACTTTAATATTCTTTTGGAAACAAAACTGAAGCAAAATCGAAGAAGAGCAGATGTGTAATGGCCAACGGCGGAAGAGAAGATGAACATATATGGGCTTTACTTAGATGGGCTTTGCAAGAGTCATTTTGTATTTTTGTCGTTAATTTGAGTCTACTCTATTCACATGGGTAGAACATTATTCTTATTTAGTTAATGTTTTATTATATTATATTAACATGACCAAACAATAATAATTAAGTCACATACATGCATCTGTTTTATAATTGAGGTTAAATTAGTATTACTTGTTATTGATGCAAATTTTTTTTTATTAAAAATACGAAAAAATTTGCAAAAGCATCAGTTATATTACTGTTACAAATACGAATTATTAGTGTTGCTTGTTAAAAGTGATGCAAATTTAGATTATTTAGCATCAATTTCAAACAAACGTCATAAATCAGGTGCTATTTACATCACTTATTAGAAATGATGTTGAACTGCCAAATTAGTGTCACTTATTATTAATTAATTCGAATTTGCGTCAGTTAATTTTTTGACACAATAAAACTGACGTTAATCACCCCTTTTTTTGTAGTGAATGAGACCAATCTATTCAAAGTTGTCGTAGGTATAATTTGATCACTTATATATTATGCATGGTGCTTCAGCATGGATGCTTTGGGGTAAATTAATTTCATCATCATCATCAATGCTTCATTTGTTTGGATCATTCCTTTTTTTTAGCAGTAATCAGAATGCATGAATTATTAATCTTTCAAGACATGATTTAAAGGAATATATATTGTTGGATCTGATGACCAGTGGCGGAGGTAGGGTGTTAGTAGGGGGGTCACTTGACCCCCATAACTTTTAGAAAATTTGTATATTAGGCTTAATTATTTGGTATTTGTTGATAATTTTGTTTAAAATGTTAATGTTGACCCCATTAACTTATCTTCAAATCATGTTTTTGCACCCCTTCTATTATTTTTTTTTTCTATTGACCCCTGTCAAATTTATTTCTGGTTCCGCCACTGCTGATGACAGTTTTTAGTCCTAAAGAAACTTTTAACCAGATCATACTTTATTTAACCTTGGCTACAAAATAAGTGTTTATTTAAGTATTGCAGAAAAAACATGGATAAAATTTAAAATGGAACGTCGAAAAATTGATGAAATTAGCCTAACAATAATTAATAGTTATTGATTGAAACTTGGAAGAGCAGCCATGTAGTACTGTTTAATTATCTACAACCTCAATCACTCTATTTGCGATTGCACTTGCATTTATTGTCGACCCTTCTCCTTCGTGTATCTGCATTTTGGGCAATAATTATTACCAAAACTCAATCCAATATATTCAAATCCATAATCAAGACTCGATCACTGACCTTGGTCTCGAGCAAGAAACTGTAATGCTCGCCAAAATGTCCTCCAGCGACATGGTGAAGATCAAGATGATACTGATCAAGCACTTTGGAGACAAAAAAACAAACAGTTGATCTTCTTTTTCTGCACGACTTTGATCGTTACTTCATCATCAATAACCCTAACATAAACTTGTATTACTTTTGAATTCCTCTCTAGCCATGAACATTGATCTATCATATCGCTCTCTGGCTTCTTCTCCATGTTTTCTTCATCATGATTGAGTCTCATCTTTGAAAACGGATGCTCTATCTCGCCAGTCACATAAATTGTGTTTCTACTGTCAATATTCTTGTGTCTTCCACCACATCTCTTCTTCTCAACCAAAGACTTAAGCTCGCTAACTAGTCTGCGTAACTCGTTGATGTAAACGATCCCATCTTGAACAATGGATGCTTTACCTCCCTAATAATAGATTTATGGGAATTAATTAAGAGATATTGGAGAGAGTGAATGAAAGATTAGTTTTGTCATAAACATGAAAAAAGTATATAACTGATTACCTTAGACGGGAAAGGAATGAGCAACATGAATTGGAACAAAAAAAAAGCAAAGTAAAGTATACCTTTGTGGGATTTGGAATGAGGTTCTTTAACTCGAAGATACGGTCATTGAAGTGAACTCGTCTTTCGCGTTCTGTAGGGAAAGTTCTCGACTTTCTTGATCCTCTTCCTTTACGAGTAACTCCATTGTTAAACTCAAGAATCTCATTGTCAAATCACCATTATTGTTGTTGTTGTTTGCTCCTTCAAAATACATAACATTCACTCCTCCATTAATATCCATATGAATATATATGATCTTCACCTCCAAGTAAACAAGACCCGTTTCTTAGCTATGAATTTGTTTGTAACACTTCCGATAAGATATACAGGTTGCTTCCCTAATTGACTCCTTTTTTGTGTCTAATTAGTAATATCCTATATAGTTTAGTATCTGTCCATGGAAAATTATTACTCCATCCGTTTCGTTTTAGTTGTCGTTTAAGGTTTTCTCACACAAATTAAGAAAATCATTAAGAAAATCATTAAATTTTCTGTTTTATCCTTTATTAATATATTTTATAAAAAAATTCATTGGCCGAAACATTAAAACAGTAAGGATAAAACTGGAATTTTCACCAAACATTTGCATCGAAAACCTAAAACAACAACTATAATGAAACAAAATTTTAACTCTAAAACGACAAGTAAAACGAAACAGAGGGGGTAAATTCTAAAACATATTTTCAAGACAGACTGGAGTATGGAAACAAAAAATTTTATACTCCAGTCTAAAATGCCCCTTTTTCAATACCCCTTTTCAAAAATGCCCCTTTAGCTGTCCATTTTTAAAAATACCATTTTTTATGTACAAAATGACTAAATTACCCTTCTTTTAATAAAAGATATCACAAATATATAAGGAAATATAACAAAATTAGGTCCACAAAATACAAAATATTTTTGGCGGGAAAAGTGATCCCGTAATTTTTCCCGCCAAAACACTTGTAAAAACTTTAAAATACCTTGTAAAATTTTTTCCCGCCAAAAAATTTTTTTTGCGGGAAAAGTGATTCCGCAATTTTTTTGGCGTTAAATTTTTGGCGGAAAAAATTTACAAGATATTTTAAAGGTTTTTTACAAGGTATTTATAAAGTTTTACAATGTATTTTAAAAGGTTTTACAACGTATTTATTTACCAGAACCCATGTATATTTGCTACGAGGTATTAATTGTTACTTTTTTGGGATAAACGTTTTTGTTTGCTACTACTCCCAAATATACATGGGTTCTGATAAGTCACAATTAATACCTCGTAGTAACTACTCCCAAAAAAATCTAGTTGCTACGAGGTATTAATTGTGACCAAAAAAATATTTACCTCAGGTTACCTGTTTTGAAGTAAATCAAAAATAAATTGAGAAAATATCAACCTTAGAGAATTAATTTCGGATCGATTTAAATTTTATATTGAGAAAAATATTATCAGTTTTCCTATTGCAGTTGGATCTGTTTAAGTTTATAGCAAAGAGAGGGGGATTGTTTGAGAGAGAGAAGATGAAAAAGTAGGTCCCACATCCAAAATTGTGAAAATATATTCTCATATCTATATTGATTTTTATAAAGTGATTAAGGAAATAGTGGAGAAACAGAAACCAAAAAATTCTGGTCACCTACCTCTCTCGTACAACTAGTTGCCCCATCCTACTCCTAGCCGTATAAACTTTAGAATCATGAGAAGTTTTGTATCAATTTTAAAGCCAGAGATTTTTATTTGGAGATTGATGAGATCGACCAAAATCTCGAAATTCCAAGTCGATCTTGATTCGGTTTCTCAATACCCCTTATATCCCTATATTTAACATAGAAATCAGAAATGATAAAAACTTAAAGTGTTGTGCCGGACACAACGATATTGGTTACGTCTTGTTAAGAACAGATTGGATTTGTGAGATATGAAATTTTCTGATGCCTGTTCGGTCCATATAGGACCATTTTTTCAGGTAGTGCATTAATTAAATTAACTAATTAAGAGAATCGAAATATCAATGTTCTTACGGTCAACCGCTGAGATGGTTTGTAGAGTACAACAAGACCGAACCGTACTTAATGACTCTGAGAAGTTCAACCATTGCCGTCAATTGACCCCGGTGAAATTTTTAAAAATAGTTGAATTTTTATATAAAAAAAATTATTGACCCCAATCCAATAAAAATATTGACCCCTATAAGAAAAATTTATGTTACAAACCCAATAATTACACTGTATTTATAGATAATATTAACCTAATAAAATTTATTTTAAGTAAATCTACTACAATTAAACCTACTAATATAAACTAATATAATATTTTAACATTTATTTTGACCTGATCTAAAAACGTTTTACCTTCTTCTTCTTTCTTCTTTGTGTTTTTAATCAATCTTTGATCGTGTGATGGTGGAAACAAGAAAACATCTTTCACATCTTTTAGTATATCGACTTATGAAGCTACCTTTTATGCATATTTTAGAAAAAAAAAAATATTTTGACCCCGATGAATAGAGTTTCTGGCTCCGCCACTGACCGTACTTAATGACTCTGAGAAGTTCAACCATTGCCAAAACCGGACAAAACCGTTACAAAATCCCTAACAAGAATGTGAGATAATATTTGGGATTGTCTAGGCTTTATATGATTGGACCTATAAAAGTATGGACTATTTTACATGTCTTGTTAGAAATATCCAAAATCTCTATACTATTAAAAGAGAAGTACAAATGAAAATGGATCGGATTAAAATCAGAAAATTGACCCGAAATTCTGAAATCGGATCTTTGAAATTTTTTTGGAATATAAATTCGAATTAATAATGAAAAATCGAAATAAAATCAAATATTTATAGAAATCAAATAAAATCTGATTGTACTTATGGTAACTAATAATAAAAGCATATTCCAAACAATATTATACATTAATTACGTATAATAAATTTGTTCATATATTTTTGGGACTAATTCTATAACAATCAACGTTTTTGTCATTAATTTCGCTCATTTTAGCCAATTATCATTAATTGAAAGATATTTTACTTGCTTCTAAAGATTTCTAGAAAATTTATCACAAATAACCCATCTGTTTTATAAATTAAATTGATATTTTTTATTTTGGTCGTGTAAATTAAATATATATTTTTATTTTGGTCATGTAAATTAAATAGATATGAAATCCATGTAACTAATTTTAATTTAATTAGATTAAATCGAAATTATGATATTTTCATACCTATAGCTTACCAAAGAAGTTTAATTTTCAATTTATAAAGATTTCTTGAATATGATTTTAGAATTATTCAACAAGATGATAAGTATTTATTAAATTTTGTGAATCATGAAAAATAATAATTAATTTTTAATCATTATACTTCATCTTTCAATCTTTCATCTAACAAATAAGATACATATTATATTATTACTATGTCCAAACTTCATTTTGTTGTATGACTAAATAATATTTCCATTAGAACTGTCAAAGCGAGTTGATTCGTCCCGTTAAGTCCGTTTTGCGATAGACAAAAAATATTTTGACTTGTAGTTAGTCGGTCCGCACGACCCGCGGGTAGCATATATGAAATACAAACCCGTCCCGCGAATGTATGCGGATTTGCGGGATTGTCCATGGATTTTGTTTAAATAATTTTAAAGTAACCAAAATTTAAAATACTACTAAAATAAATAAATAAATCAAAATACTATTAAAAGTTTGTTTAAATTACCACATGTTGAATAAATTATAATTTTATCAATAAATACTAATACGCGGGCTGATCCGCCTACCCGCGGATGAAAACCGATTAAACCTATGACCCACTGCGAATTAATCTATGTGGCCCGCTTATTTGCGGGTTTAATATATTTTCCCAAATCTGCCCCATAGTGAGATGATGTGGGCTCGACCCGCGGTTTTTGACCTATTTTGACTACTCTAATTCCCATGAATCGTCTAATTTTAGAATTTTAAAACACAAAATTCTATTTTGTAAATCATAATTAATACGATGGGTATATTTATAAACAATTTTACATTTTCTCTATAATTCGTTATTATGAATATTTATAAGTATACTATACGATTCGTTCTACTAAAAAACACACACAATATTAAACGTAACGTATGTAAACCAATATTCTTCCGCGGTGGACCGCGGGTCCGATCCTGAAACCTAAATTTGGCTCCAAACTGAGTTTTTATTTAGTCTTGCAAATGAGAAAACATGGATTTAGAAAGAAAAAAAAAAAGTCAGAAAATAGACGAAATTAGCCTAGTAATTTATGGGAAGAGCAGCCATGTAGTGTTTGTCCACAACTTCAATCACTCTGTTTGCTATTGCACTTGCATATATTGTTGATCCTTCATAAATCTGCATTTTATTCAATCATTATCACCAAAACTCAATCCCAAATATATATACAAAAAATCCATAATCAAGATTTGGTATATATATTCGTCGATCACTAACCTTGGTGTTGAACAAGAAACTGTAATGCTCACCAATCTGTCCTCCTGCAACATGGTAAAGATCAAGCTGAAGTTGATCAAGTACTTTGGAGACAAGTAACAAACAATTAATCTTCTTCTTTTGCACAACTTTGATTGTTACTTCATCATCAACAATCCTAACATCAACTTCTGTTACTTTTGATTTCCTCTGCAGCCATGAACATCTCAGCGAGTTGTTGCTTGAACATTGGTCTACTACATCGCTCTCTGGCTTCTTCTCCATGTTTTCATCATCAATATCATCTTCATCATTATCATGATCATTCGAGTTGTTGTTGTTAATGTTGTTGTCTAATTCATTGTTCTTGTGTCTCCCACCACATCTTTTCCTCTCAACCAAATACTTAAGCTCGCTTACTCTTCTGCGTAACTCGTTGATGTAATCGATTCCATCTTGAAGAATGGATGCTCTATCGCCCTAAATAACATATTATATGACTTAAGCAAAGAGACATTGGAGATGATATATGAAAACTAAACTAAGAAAAGATTGTTGTCGTAAGTAATAAACTAACCTTACTCGGGTTAGGGATGAGTAATTTCAAGGCCTCGTACCGCTCATTCAAGTGACATCTTCGCTCACGTTCTGTTGTAAAAGGTTTGTTCTTTCGCTTTCCTCTTCCTTTACGTCTAATTTCTTTGCTAAACTCGATGATTCCGCTATCGAACTGAGCATTGTTATTCTCATCTCCAACATTGGACTCATCTCCTTGAGTAGTAGTATTGGTATCAATGCCAAGCAAGTACCCTGAGTAGTCATTAGAAGGGATCAATGGAGGTTGTGGAGGAAGGTTTAAGTGGCAGAGCGGGTCATACGTGAAGCAAGAACCCGCCATTATATCCGAAAGATTCGAGCTTGGTAATGCCATTGAGCATCTAGGCAAATGCAAGAGGCTGAGAAGATCAGGAATTGGAGTTGTTGTTGTATTTGGATGTGAAGTGTTCATGAAGAAACCAGTGTTGTCTTCAGAAACACCCCAATTCGGTTCTTGAATCATTTGATTGATCAAATGGTTGTTGTTGCTGATGTTTTGGTTCTGAGTTTCTGAGTTTGGAAGAGAGATAACAGAAGGGAAAGCAGAGAATTCCTCCATTGTTGGAAGCTTAAGATCGTCGTTAAAGCTGTTTGTTGTGCTTCCGACCGGTGGTTGGAACTGGTGGCTTACCGGAAAAGTTGTTTCCGCCGCGCAGAAGCTGCCGTTGTTGTCTACCATCGGATTAGGATCAAAACATGAACTTTCCTCATACATTTTCAACTGATTTTTTCTGCAAACAAAACTAATTTTCCATAACCATAATTAATCTTTAAGACAAAAGCCAATCTAAGTTAAGTTGATTACATTAAATAAAGAAAGTTTGCATAAACTCAAAACCTAATCTCAAACTAATTCCCTTAAGCCCCTTTCTTTTAGATTGGAAAAGAAAAATCCTCTGCATTTTGTGTTTTGATATCTTCTTTACTCTCACATTTTTAGTATTGATTTAAAAATCAAACTTAGTTTAGAGAATGAAAAGTTTAGAGAAGGAAATGCTCTCAATACCAAAAGTTAGACGATGATGATCTTTCTCCTTCTTTGTTGTCCCTGAAAGCCTAAGTTACCACCAACTATATTTCAGCTTCACAATTTCAAATCAAAGATCATTTCAGCATTTAGAACTCAAATCAAATTTAGGAGAAAAAGAGAGAAGCTTTTTGGGTATGTTTTGTTTCTGTTTGATGGAGTTTGGGGTGTGTTTGTGTCTTTTGGATCTTTCTTGTTCCCATAAGAGAGGGTTTTTTGGACGTGTTTGTATTGTTTTGGACAGCTCTCGACTAAATACTTCAAGACAGAGGAAACAATTTTTTTTTCTTCTCCCTTTTTTGTTAAGGAAAATATGAATTGAGAATAAAATGGTTCCAACCTTTAATTTCTGACACAAACAAAGCCTTATTTCTTTACTAAGACATGTCTTAATATTTGGAGATTTATTACAAAGTTTTAGTATTTTTCTTTTAAACGTAATTCAAGCCGTGTATTTCAAAATTAAACTTCCAATTAGAACTTATGAAGTATGTTGGGACTGATAAGAATTTATTTTCCTTACAATTCCACTTTTTAGACAAATAGACAAATAGTGGATAAATGATGATAATAGACCGAGGGAAATGGACCTAAAAGGTACATAAAAAATAACCATAATATGAGAAATGAAATAAAAAATAAAATAAATAAACAAGTACTATAATAATAATGAATAAAAATATAATTGAGATTTTCAGTTGGGTCATGCAATCTCGCTTTTGGCTACAACGGCAATGGACCCCACTTGAAATCTCCTAATTCCTTACAATTTTTTTCTCAAATGATCAAGGGTATTTACGTCATTTAAACTCCAATTTGGTAAGAGCAGCTCCAACGGTGTGTTTACTAGCTAAGATATGCATACGTGTCAAGTGATGATTTGTCTGAAAATGGAAAAATAAAAAAGTCTCGGTTTTTTGTTTCTTCAGTCTGTCGACGGCGGAGGAGGAGGAGACTAGGAAGATCGATTTTTATCAATCTCGATTGAACAAGATGGTACGTTTTATTGTTTCCCAATTCATCTTTTATTTCAAATAATTGAATCGCTTGATTCATCTTCTGCTCTCTCAAGTGGTAAATTGGGGATAAACCATGTTTGTTTGTTGTAAATGGATCCCCGAAGCCCTACAAGTATTTTTGATTGCGATTAGTATGAATCTCTTTGGAGATTTATGGTTTTCGATGCTAGGATTTGGTTCTAGAAGGATTTCTTCGGAATACTTTGATCTTTCGTGATTGTCTCACTCGATTATCATATTGTTCGTTGGTAATTTGAAATCTTTTGTTAATAACTTGATTCGTTTTGATAATTGCCATGTTTTAGCTTGTTATCGAAATTGTCTCTATGATTTGGCTAATCTAATCAATTGCTTGCGTTCTGTTTTTTTTTTTTTACCTTTTTGATTATTGAGGATCATATCTGGTCATTAGATTGCTTTTGTGATCCATGAACAGAGATGAGGCTAAACCAAAGTATAACATCATTGATTTGATGATCAAAAGTAACTAACGTGTGTATTTGGCTTGAGTTGGTGTCAGTGTGTTGGTATGGATCGTCCTTAAAGTCTCTCCCTCGTGTACCTTTTGTTGATCGATCAGAATCTTTGTTTTTGTTGAATTGGCAGGAGGATGCTCTCATTTTGGTTTAATTTTCATACGTGCTTTTATTTTGTTCAGGTTCGACATGCCTTATAATATATGATCGCCAAGGGTGTTTGATTTAATGCAGAAAATAAGCAAGTTGGGAACTATTATTCTACAAAGGTACTATTGAGAGTCTCTCCTTTCTCTATGATCACTTAAATATGACTTCTCAATTTTTGTTTCTGCTGTCTACATCATTCTTTAGTGCACCATTGATTGTGTTTGTTTGATGCTTGGTAGTTGATTGTTATGTCACACTTAAACACACACCATTAACTTTTAATTTTGCTCTTTCATTCTCTTTTAAACACCTAACCAGAAACTAGGCTACTCAAGAACAAAAACCACACGCTTGAACCCATTGATTGTCTATATTCTCTATGTGATCAATGCTTGGTAGTTGCTTAGGGTTTGGTTGATAGAGAACGAGAACGAAGAGATTGTGAAATGATTTTCTATATTTCCCGAAACAGAAAAGGTTGTTACAATCGTGTATATATACACTCTACACTAAACCAAAGACTAAACCGTATACATGTATATTAACTTAACCAGTACATTAAACCGGAATCATATATACATCTAAGAGCCCCCCTCAAGCTTGAGCTTCATATATGTTAAGAACTCCAAGCTTGCTGTTGTTTTCTCGAAAAAGAGATGGATATAGAGGTTTAGTCAATATATCTGCAAGTTGATTATCAGTCCGCACAAACATCGTCTTAAGAATACCAGCTTCAATGCATTCACGAACTTTATGACAATCAAACTCTATATGCTTTGTCCTCTCATGGAAGACAGAGTTACTGGCAATGTGTAATGCAGCAACATTATCACAATAGAGATATGCAGGAGAACGAAAAGGAACCCTGAGAGCAGTGAGGAGATAACCCAGCCAAATCAACTCCTTGGTAGCCACACTCATAGCTCTATACTCAGCCTCAGCTGAACTCATGGAAACAACATCCTGTTTCTTTGAACGCCAAGAAACCAATGAATTACCAACAAAGATGGCAAAACCAGTCACACAACGTCGACTGTCAGGACAAGTACCCCAGTCAGAGTCAGAAAAGCCTCGCAAATCAAAGGTAGGATCAGCACCATAGAATAAACCCTGTCCAACAGTTCCCTTCAAGTACCTCAAGATTTTATGAATAGCCTGAAGATGAATATCAGTTGGAGCAGAGGAGTACTGAGCCAATTTAGAGACTGCAAAGGTAATATCTGGCCTGGTAATACATAAGTACTGCAGTTTACCAATCAGACGTCTATATTGTTTAGGATCAGCAAGAACTGTACCAGTATCCTGAGCAAGCTTCTGATTAGGCTCCATGGGAATAGAAGACGGCTTACAATCAGAAAAACCAGTGGACTCCAGTAAGTCCAAAATATACTTCCTCTGATTCAAAGAAATGCCCTCATCAGTTCTAGCAATTTCAATTCCCAGAAAAAATTTAGGTGGACCAAGATCTCGAAGCTGGAAAGCAGAGCTCAATTGTGTCTTCAACTCAGCTACAAGAGAATCACTGGTACTAGCAATGAGTATATCATCTACATAGACCAGAACCACCAGAAAATTACCATTAACTTCTTTAACAAAAAGAGTATGGTCTCCATGACATTTGTCAAATCCAAAACCAACCAGAGTGCTTGAAAACTTTAAAAACCACTGGCGAGAAGCCTGTTTAAGACCATAAATGGATTTATGAAGATGACAAACTGCATTAGGAGAGACTTCAATTCCCATTAACTCTGCATAACCTGGGGGTAATTTCATATATATTTCCTCAACAAGGTCACCATTAAGAAAAGCATTGGAGATGTCCAATTGGTGCAAAGACCACTGCATTTTTGGTGCGAGGGATAGAAGAAGTTTCACTGTTACCATTTTTGCAACAGGAGAGAAAGTATCAGTGAAATCTATACCCTCTTGTTGAGTATACCCTTTGGCTACTAAGCGAGCTTTATACCTTTCAATACTGCCATCAGCATGAAATTTGATGGTGAAAACCCATTTGCATCCTACTGCAACCTTTCCTGGAGGCAAGTCACAGACACTCCAAGTTTCAGTTCTTATAAAAGCTCCAATCTCCTTACCCATAGCATCTGTCCATTCCTTGTCATGCTTAGCTTCTGAAAACTTTGTAGGTAGCTTTGTTTTTGTGATGATATTAATGAAAGCACCAAAAGGCTCAGATAGATAAGAATAAGAAATATATT